ATTTCACGTGTTGTTATTCGACAGTTTGCTTCAATCAGTACCTTTTATTTTGTTTTCATTGGCTTCAATTGGCCATCCATAACGTGGTGCATTTTCAATACTGAAATTGCAAGAACAAAATTTTGTAAACCAGTTTTGGCACTGTCGTTCTGCCAACAGATCTCTACCATACATGTCACATGATTTTTTTCTCGCTTGAATGGCATTTTTATTTTTTTGGTAATAAAAAAGCAAAATATGTCGAAAATGCTACTTTCGATCTTCCATATTTGATGGGACACAAAAAATAAACAATTGCACAAAATCAAACAAAATTTTTTACAAATAAGCCTTAAAATGCTAGCTGTCAAAATATATAATGATAATACAGTTTAGAATGAAAATGGCGGAAAAAATATGACTAATCCGTCTAGTGGTAAAAAAATGAAATTACTTTCCGAACAATCTAATATATTTAATAATAATTTTTGACAAACTATATTTAAACGGCTATGTAAAAACGTTAAAGTAGGCTATAATAAGTTTTCTAAGTATTATCTCGGTAATTTTTAAATTGTGACCACTCTGACCTACTTTAACATGTGCAGAGAAAGGAGCTTAACTGGTCAACACATGTCTAGCCACTTCTGATTGTGATTTGACCAATGAAAATCTCCGGCAGATTAATACAACAAAATCTTTGTTTACAGTAGGTGTCAAGTTACAATAAATAGACTATAGTGCTTTGTCGTCTAGGAACGTATCCCCCCTGCATTAAGCAGGGTCTTACTGTATTTAATTTAAAATTTACATAGAAAGATTTAATATTCATTCCAAATGTTTAATATTTATTAAATTACAGTACAGTATTTATATTTATTATTTAGATCAAGGCTGGCAAAATCTTTTTGAGTCCGTATGCCAAAATAGGCATATTTAACTTTAAAAAAAAAATGCACAAGTGTCAAAACTTTGGAGTTCAAACAACTATTTTTAAAATAAAGTGAATATACTTTAATTAGAAAGAAGTTTTTAAAAAAAAATGATAATTGAGAAAAGAATCACATGCTAATAAATCAAACTGAATGTAAAACTAGAATAAAATGAGAAATTAACATAAATTAAAATTTATATAGTAAAAAATATGTTGTGTGCCAGATGAATTTTTCCAAAATGTCATTTTTGCATGCATGCCACAGTTTGACATCTGTGATTTACATGATAATGATATTTGCAGTTTTAATATTATATTTATTATACTTTTCTTCTTCTAAACAATAATTCTCAGTTCTGTAATTTAGCATTAAAATTTCTATATTTCTCAGTAAATAATTTTTATTTATAATAATGTTTACTTTAAAAAGCTTTATTTTAAATACAGTATATTCTATGGCATTCCTATGGTATAATAAGAGATAAAGTTTAAGAATTTTTATCATACTGTACCAATATCTAAGAAATTTTTAATAAAGTATTTTACTTTTCCATCACAAGGTAACAAAAATTTAAATTAACACAGAGATTTATGATTATAATCTATTGATTATGCTATTTACATTGCACTATTATGTGCTTTTTTTTTATTGATTAATTATCAGGGAATATCTTAAGGAAATTGAAATGTGCTAAAATTATTAATTCTTTAATGCTGTTGATTTTTAAACTAGTTGGATTTTTCATATTTTAATTTGTTTTATTTCTAAATCAATAAAATGTAATAAACATTCTATAATTATTATTATCACTATTATCATGGTGGTGTTGATGGAGAGTATCCTAAATGGCATATATACCATGCCTATCACTATGCAAGATCAGAATCAAGGCATAGCTTTGTAACAAATTATTATTTATTTATCTATATACAATAACAGCACATGTTTAAGAATTTCCTGATTGCATCACAAATTTTAGTATAATTACTTTCTATAGTGTGATGGATGTGCTGTTATGTATTACTATTATTTTTATTACAAAGTTATTCTTAAAATTCTTCTTTAATGGCACTTAATTAATACTCAAGCATTGACACAGAAAACCTTTATAATGCAGCCTTTTAATTCAAAATTTACTAACGTTTTTGGCCATTTTGAAAGGCCTTCATCAGGAACAGAACAATTGAATGATTCTGATTTCAAAACTGATATTTGTTCTGGAGCAGTTAAAGAAGCAGGCACTATGGTGTTCTTCTCTATATTAACAATGGTTTTATGTATTTGTCTGTATTTATTTACATATTTATTTACTTTTTATTTTATTTTAGCTAGTTATTTATTCATGTATTATATTTATTTATATTTTTTGTGTATATTGGTACAAGTACCAATTAATTACACATAATAAATAATTACATTACATATTATTTATATGTAATGTAATTATATAAATAATATGTAATTATTTATATACGAACCTGCACACTAGGCATATAAGAAAATTCAAAAAGATTTTCTAGAACAAATATCAATTTTGAAATCAGAATTATTTGATTGTTCTGTTTCTGACGAAAGCCTTTCAAAATGACCAAAAACATTAGTAAATTTTGAATTAAGAGGCTGCATTATAAAGGTTTTTGTGTGTCGATGCTTAAAGTTATTATTAAAATTTGATAAAATCTAAAATAAACATTGAAAAAATTATTTATTACCAAGATGAACATATTTTCCATTTTCGTCCTTTTCTGCTAAAGCACTTCCTTCTCTTTCCAAATCTTTTCTGTATCTTTTTATATTCTTCACCATTAAATCTTTACGTGTTAATTCATAATGATTAGGAAAATGACTGATAACTCTAAAATGCAAATAATATTTTTACATAATATAATAAATGACAGGTATAAAAGTGTTGAGATGATTAATTCCTTTAATACAATTTGTGACAAACAGTAGCAATACTTACTGATTATCACCAAGACGATATCCAGTTTCTATACTAAAAATTGCACGTACGGTCGGAACTGATGCCCTAAATTATTACAAATATATAATAAGTATAGATAAATTCATCAATTTAGTTTATTAAATAAATAAAATAATAATATAAGTTTTCCAAGCTTAAATTTGTTTAAAAACTTCTTAATTATTAATCTTTAATTATTTGAATAATAATATAATAAGAATTTAGATAATTTAATTAATTAACTTATTTGTAATTTGGATAATTATGTTTTCAATTTCAAGAAAAATTATTTTATATTTTATTGCAAAATGTAAAAATTGATGATAACAATATTTCTTGTTTAATCAATAAATATATCTAGAATGCTATCATACAGAGCATATAGTTACACTAATAAGTAATTGCTTGTCTTTCAGATGATAATGATAAAATAACAGAAAAATAATGATAATAATGGTGATGACACAGAAGTTAAGGTGTCAGCCTACAACTCTCAGGAATCCAGGAACAAATCAGGTTGGATAAAAAACTCCAAGAATTTTTCAGATGGTGGTCAATCCTGGATTTGTTGAGCTCTATCCCTTGCCACCAGACTACCTGGCCAAACCCACAAGTGCCCACAGGGTGAAAAAAATAAAAAATAATTTCTAAAAATTACATTTGTGTTTTAATTAATAAAATACTGTATGTTTGCTTGAGACAATCTATAGAATTTTTGCCAAATCCTGTATAGTATCCAAAGAAAAAGTTAATATATTTGCTTGATAAAAGAGAGTATCAGTACATCTATTTTTTAGATGATAAAATAGCATTAATTCATTTCATAAAAAATATTTTCAATGAATTAATGTCCAATTTGAACTTTGTTTTTCAGTTCAAAATATGTTTTGGTTACACATTAGGCTAGAATAACCAGATGTTGTTTGCTTGAAATAAACTGAAAATGTTTGTTTTAGGTAAATATATTGGACTTTTACAACTGATTTTGGTGTTTTTTAGTGTTCGTTTCTATGTTCTACCTGTTCTAACAAAGTAAGTTTTATATTACCTTTATATTTTTATTGCTATTACAGTATTTGAATTCTGTGATGTTAATGATGGAAAAAGTNTTATAAATGAGACTTGTTTATAAATGTATAATGTATATTTATCCCTTCTCTTTCCCCCACAGGGGAAGAATTTTGAAAAATCCCTTTAGTGTGCATTCTCACGACACCCTAACAGTGTACCAAATTTCAACTCCTAACTGTTTTGGCTCTGCGCTTATTATTATTATTATATAGTATTTAGTGGGTTATACTCAGTTGATACCAGTGACTGTGTACTATGCCAGACCAGAGTCAAGGCATAGCAACCAAAAACAAAAATTAAATAAGTGTGTCAGTGTCTGTTTACAGGAATTTCCTAATGATATGGCATGAATTCAATACAGTGGCCTTCTATAGTGTGATGTACAGTATGTATTTCTATTCAATTGTAATGTTCCCAGGCTTTTGTGTAGTGTGTGTGGTATCACACCTGTACAGGAGAGAACGACAGGTACAATAAGCACCCTTCCATCCTCCACAGATGCCTTATTTCCTGGGCGAGTTCTGTGTACTTGCTAATTTTTTCAGTGAATGTGTTTTGTACATTGTGAGTATTTGGAATGGATATGTCTATAATATATGTGATTTTATTGTGTTTGTCAATGAGTGTGATGGACAGTACATGTGATAAATTGTTTTATTTGTGATTAGGCTCTGTCGTAGTACATTTTGTGCGTGTTGTTTTCTAATACTGTCTGTGGAATGTATTTGTAGTATGGTTCATGGATGTCTAATAATTTGCACCACCTGAAGCAGACCTCGGTGGAGGTCGAAAGTACTTGTGGAATTTACTAGTGACATAACACTCGTAAAAAAAAGGTTTTTTCGTGGGTTGTTACTAATAATTTGTGTTTCTTTGCAAGCTCTTGGTGTATTATATTTGCTACTTGATTATGTTTGTGTAAATAATCTGTCTGTGCCAAGAGCTTGCAACCAGAAGTAATGTGTTGTATTGTTTCTGGCATGATGTGACATTTTATTATTATTATTATTATAGTTTTTTCAATGTATTGATGCATCCTATGGAATACATTTTAGANTATTTAATTTAAAATATATGCTCTTCAAATTAGTAGTGGCTTGCCCCTGTACATCATACTTTTCCTTTAACAATAAGTTGTGCCAGTCGTCCATTAACTGCTTTCAGGGGAAAAGTTTTGAATTGAAATAACATGACTTCCAGTTTGCAATGGAAGTTCATATATAGTTAATCAGGGCCTCCCATCCTTAAGGTTTCCATATCTGGTCTCGGATTTCATCTACCTAACTCTGATCTCTAGATTAACAAAAGACAGATGGACAGGGGATCTATAGATGATAGTGGGAATCTATATGTCTACAATTTTTTCAAATTGCAGCCTAATAATTATCATCTTAACATAGAATTTCTCTATAACATTTCTCAACTGAAATTAAAATATTGTCTAAAGAAATAAATTCAGATCATCAGGAAGCATGGTGAACTATATTATACCGAATATATTAAAGTAAAAATTGATAATGAAAATGTTAGACTTTCTTAATACAAGTGCCTAATGGTGCTATATCAGCTAAAGCTTCTACTAGGAAGAATCATGTTCAAATCTTAAATGTGGTGAATTTTGTCTTTCTGCCTATGGTCTAGCCATTATTAATATTTTACAGTAAAAGGCAAGAAATATTTTCCTTTTCAGCAAGACATTTGAATTTGCTTTCATATAGCAAAACCACACAAAAATAATTTTTAAAATAAAAAGGTACACTTTAGTGTTGAGTGTCTTCACCAGGGGGTTAACGCCATATTATTTAATCTATTAATGAATTGCGTCCAAATGCAGATAATCGTTGAGGACATTACTATCAAAACCTTTTAGTTAAAATGGATAATAATTTATAAAAATAACAAAAACCCGATACAATTTTATTAATTTTTACATAAAAATAAACAACATTTCATTTCAACCAGATAAAAACTAAATGCAATTCACTTCGCCTCGCATCGCCGCGGCGACAATCTTAATATTCGTTATACTTATTTATTATATTTCAAAATTCTTTAAAACGAAGTTATCTGATTACATTTAATTTAAATAAATCATTTATAATATGATAATAATAGACAATTTCTAACACGATACGTAGCAATCACAAATCGATCGGCGCGTGGGAGCGCTACTTGACCTGCCGATTCAATATGGCGGCGGCCTACAGATGACGAACAATATGATAAACTTAATTTTATTTTTTGAGAAATATTTAAAATCAATTAAATTCTACAGAATTTATATACGATAATTAATCACATAAATTCCTCTGTATGATTATTTTTCGGTGCAATGATAAATGGTGATAAAGCTTACTCACCAGTATACATTCCAATCTTCTTCGGGGCCAACTGGCAACCATCCTCTTTTTTCGAAATTAGATATTAAAACAGATTTATCTATATCGCAGCAATACGTTATTTCACACATTTCCTTATAAATGGCACTAAATCAACCAAATTTTAAAGATGAAATAGATTTGATGTTGTTGCTATGGCAACAGTTCCATGTCCCATATTATAATAACTAAAAAAAAAAAAACAATTAGTAAACCTTCTTCGAAATTATTACTAAATTATTAATTCGTATTAAAATTACAGTTCAAACGAAACTTTCAAGAATTAAAATATTTAATATCTAAATATTGAATTATTTTCATTTACTGTTGTGTTATAGATATCTATGTTTCAAAATCTCAAAATGAAAAATATTCTGAAAATAATATGTACTTTTAATGTTATTTTGAACTGCTGCAGTTTTATAAGGAAATTATAAAATTATAAATTTTAGCTTTTTAATATTAAAAAAAATCATTTTAGATGGTGTCGTGGCTTTCTATCATGTTTCATCCGAAGGATCTAAACTTACCTTTTGTTTCCTCAGTTGATTTTTACAGAAATCTTACAATAAAAAATTGAAAGTTTTTAGAAAATGGATTTAAAAAATTTGTAATAATATATCGTTTGAATGCATTGATTAATTTTTAATAAAACTTAATAAAACAGATGAATGGAGAAAGATGGAGCCCACCAGTAACCGAGTTGATAAAACCTTCATAGGCTCAGATGTGCCGTACAACTGAGATACTTAAAGAAGTCTACCATTTCAAAAGATACACTTACAGACCAGCCTTCTGCGTAATGGGAAAAATTGAGTCTCCAGCATTTAAATAAAAAAGTAATTTTCCATCGAAGTTCCTATGCTTTATTTGAGAATATCTGATGAATAAGAGCTGTTTTGTTTTTGATTTGTTCGGTCTTGTAGGCACTAGGAGGGCTTTTTAATTAATCATCATGGGTTCGTCCAGGCCCAATGGGCGTCCGGGTAGTGAGAGATCCAATATATCCGGAACCCACTAGCCCAAAAAATTTTTGGGGATTTGAATCCTAGCGGGTCAACTACCCGTTGGTATTCTATCCCGGATTCCCAAAATGGTATAGAATAAATATGAATTATGGCTGACATCTTAATTGCCTCAGCCGTCTGGCCCCCGAATAAGAACACTGAATCTTAAGACATGACAAATTTTACTGAAAACAGCAGACTTGTATGTTTTTTTATATATATTTAAAAAAAGGACAAGGAGAGGATTTTTTACATTTTTCCACCCTGTGGGCACTAAGAGAGCCTCTTTAAGCAAGTCCATTATCGGTTCGACTAGACCACAATGGGACGGCCGGGTGGTAAGAGACGGGGTCCGACATATCCGTACGGACCACCCTGAAAAAATTCCTGGGGATTTTTCAACCCGTCTGTATTCAATCCCGGATCCGGTAGGCTGCCACCTTGACCGCTCGGCCATCCCGCCGTCAACAAGAAGAGGATAAACATTATATTGGTTAAAAACAAAAATAAGTATTGTCTTAAATCATTTCCGAATTAGTTCCATATTTGTAACTCTTGTGAACATTTATTATATTCTCCATAAAAATACTGTAGTATATATTTTTCTCACTACATCAACATCATTGAGACCGGATGACTGAGTGTTTGACTTAATAGATATTTGGCATAAAATGAACCCCCACAAACGTAAATTCACGTACCATCAGAATAATTCTCACTCCCGTTTGGATAGATTCTATATTTCTAGTCACCTCCATCAGATAACTTCGGAATACGAAATCATTCCGAATCATTTAACTAATCATAACGATGTTACTTTAACACTTGACTTCACAAAGAGGAACTGCAAATCCAAACATAGAGTAACTACACCCTGGAAAATGAACGTAAATCTACTTAAAGATGTCGACTTTCTTACCGAAACAATCCAAGCGATATTTAACATCACGGGAGAAAACGACTGTGCTTGGTGAGAAACTGCGAAAAGAAATATTAAAAATATCGGCGTTCAGATACGTATAAATAAAGAAAAACAACGTCTTAAAGAATATGATAACGGAATACGAGAGCTGAAACAGGCATATATGGACGAAACCTTACACCCTGGTAAGCATAAAACAGCCATTGCAAACGCAAAAGCCAAACTAAAGGTATATCATGAGAACCGTTTATATGGAGCATTTATCCGATCTTTGGCAGAGCTCTGTGAACAGGAAATCCATCCGTCCAAGAAATTTTATCAAATGGAACGAAAGCATAATCAATCTAAAACGATCAGTACAATAAAAAATGGGAATAATGAAACAATAACTGATGATGAACAAATAAGAAAGTTTATTCACCAATACTACTCAAAAATATTCGAAAGGAAAAGCTTTCACGAAGGAATAGCACGAGACTTCATGTCCCGAATGCCAAAGTTTAACGATAAGCAGAGTACTGAGCTAAATAAAAACATCACTTACGAAGAACACGAAGCAGCGCTAAATAGCATGCCAAATAACAAATCACCAGGACCGGATGGGCTACCTGCTGAATTTTATAAACAATTTTTCCCCTTGATAGGACAACGGTACGTCAACATGATCAACAACTCTGTAAAAACCAACAAACTGATAAATGGCTTTAATCACGGAACAGGGCCGGATTAACCCACTTTGGGGCCCTAGACATTGTCTTCTTCAGGGTCCCCTGCCAGCTCTTTCAATTAATTAATTTTATTACTATTNATAAAATTCTTTTATATTTAATTTAGATAAACTTAAATAAGTTTTTAAATTCTATAGAAAAGAAATTCAAGCAATTATTTATTGTAACATCATTAATTGGTTGCAATTTTTAATCATCTTTTAATTTAAAAAATTATGTGACTTCTGGTCCAGACTGGAAGTTCATGTATATTTAATCAGAACCTTCAGTCACTAAGCTTTTCATATCTGGTCTTGATTTTCATCTATATAACTCTGTTCTCAAGATTAATGAAGGACAGCCAGACAGTATGGACAGACAGACAACAATGGGAATGTATAGGTCTGCAATTTGAAAATTGCAGTCCACTAATAAATCAGTAAAAAGTTAAATTACTGGATTGGCTATTTCTCAATAGTATGAACTATCTTATGAACATATAAATATAAATATCTTTATGTTTGAAGAACAATTGTTATCAGATCTTGCCTATAGAGTGACCAGTTTTCAGGAGGAATCTACAGTATATTAATAGGAAGAGAATCCTTTTTAAGGTTAAGACAAGCACTGTTAAGGCTGTCCATTAATTATATGTACAGTTTAAGAAGGAAGGGGTTTGCAATAGTACATCATTGTAGTGTAGTAGGAAGTGTAGTGTAGTAGTGTAGTACATGATGGGGAGGTGGGAGAAGGTTGAGACATTTTCTACATAAACTTTTTAATGCTATTAGTGTCATATGAATTTGCTTTAATAAGCAAACTTACTAGCATATGAATAAACTATTAGTTATAAAATATTTGCAGAACTTTTAAAATCATTCTTTAATGTCAGGGGTGCATGAACTATTGTACTGTATATGTAATTAAAGAAGAGGGGGGTTTGCTAAAAGTACATCATTGTATATAACTGGAAAGGAAAGGGTCAAAAGTGGCTAAAAAATGTACATATACCATATATCTCTGCAGATAAGACGAGGTATAAATTTTCATCAAAGTTTTATAGTTTTAGCATATATCTGTCCTATAAGATGACCAGCAAACTATCAACAGCCTATGAATTTAGTTTAGATCAGCAATCATCATCTGAATAATAACACTGTATAGCGTATACAGAATTATGTCCTATTTGTAATTTTTCGAATGAACAAATTTTATTTTCTTGCATCTGGCAGCACTGCCTTGCAATTGTTGCAAACATTGGCACTGATTCAGCATTTGGGTAATGACCTTGACTATTCACAAAAACGTCATATGAGCTATTCTATTTTGTGGACATACCCTACTCTCTTCTATTAAATTATGGTTTGTCTGTCTTTTTATAATGGTTTGAATTTATATAAATTTCAATCTAATTTTTTTTTGTATCTGTCCTATAAGATGATCCTGGATTTTGGGGGCCTTTTTTTATGATTCAACTAGCATCTTATCTGCCGAGATATACGGTAATTAATTAATGAATGGTATCTAAACTAATAAAAGTTCCAATCAATATGCTTACAAATCAGTCAAAATCATGATTAAAAAAAGATCAAATAATCTGATAGATTCTAATTATTAGACAGTGTTGTATACAGGGTGTCCACTTAAACAACTGTCCAGGGGTAAACAGATCTTTCCAGCATTTCAGAAGTGTGTGTGTGTGTGATGCATGCTTGTTCCAGCATAAAATAACTGATGATTAAATATCTATCAAGGGGCAAAAGATTAATTCATTTTAAAAATGTCATGATGACGATAAATTAAAGCAGTCAGCAAAATAAAATAAATCATTCAACAAAAGGAATGTGACATCATATGATAATTCAGTAGAAATATGTAAATTTTTCAAACCTCAACATGCAAATCATAAAAGTGATTTTGATTAATCATACTGCAATATACAATATCAATGTCTATACGAGCCATGATGGAACCTGCTAGGTGATAGAGAATAGCAGCAATGTCATATTCTCACAAACAATGCTGTGAAATGGTTATTCTATACAACAGCGATTCTTGCAGGGTACACACTTGGTAGTTTAAGGATATAATGCAAAAATATTAATAATGGCAGGTGTATTATAGGAATATTCAGATTCTGCATTAAGGCCTTTGGCAACATCACAACACTTAATATATTTTTATTTAAAACTAATTATTATTATTTTTATTATATTTATCTGTATCTTCTTCCAACACTTTTTGATTTAAAAAATTTTTTATTACATGTAATTGTACTGTATAGCACTATATAATTGACTAAGGCATCACTATTTGAAAAACATGTGAAATAAAACTTGACGAAAATGGGAAATTAAATTTAAGAAAATGAGCTGCCAAGGAGTACGCAAGTCAAAAATGGTTGGGAACTGCTTCTATACAGGGAAACTAGACATAAGAGACCAGATTGTACTCAACTTAATGACATGGATGTGTTGGCATAATTCCATGCATATCTACATTAAAGCATGAGTAAAACAGCCAGTTTA